ATTTTGACGCCAAGCACCTACTTCTTAAATTTATGAAACCCAGAATTTCAAAACCTTTAGAGCAGAAACATAAAACTGAGATTTATGTGGCAGCCAGGCAGGTAACATAAAAGAATGAACTGACATTTGGAGTCGGAGACAGAATGGAGAGAGCTGGCCCCTCTCAGGGGAACAGCCATACTCAGCTCCAGAAGAATATTGCCTCACTTTGAGAGAAGCCAGAAATCCAGATTTCCATGTGAAATAGACCAAGCCTTACAACAACCAAGTCAAATTCTAAAAAAAAAATATCACACAGGCCAAATAACACAGTCTGCCAGTCAGATCTCGGGCTGCGTGCTTGCCATCCTGCCTGGCTCTGTATTTGTCTCTTCCTTTTGAAATGTTCACCTATGGACACAAAAGACATGAGCCCCTTGAACTCTCAGTTCCTGCTCATTTCCAAGGATGCTCCTGGGATAAGAGCTTCACTTCTTGATTGTTACATTCCACAGCACATGCTCACCTACCAAGGGTACCTCTCTTCTCCGAGAATGCTAATTGTAAGTATAGATTCTTAAAGCCTGATTGTTTTGTGGCTGAAATAACAACAGCCTCCAAAAAACCCTAACAACTTCCTGTAGAGCTGCTGTTATGGTTCCACAACTCACGTAATTTTGTTTTGTTTGGAGGGAAAGTCTGGCATTTTACAAAAATACTTAGAAATGGAATGACTTTTCCATAGCACTGATTATTGTACAGCAAGACACATAACCATATGTCTTCGAAATGTGACTTGAAAAATTCTCTGCTAACACTACAAGGAAAATTACCCTCTAGTCTTTCCATATGAAGGGGATCATTTTCTACAAGCTTATGAAAGCTTCACTGGTTAAGACACATATTTAGTGAGTGGAAACCTCAACACAAATGCAAATTCAGGCTCAAATTCCAGCTCTCTCATTTACTTACCAGCTGTGTGATCTTGGATAAGTCATTTAATCTCCCAGAGCTTTTATCTCCCCATCTGCAAAAGAGGGCTCATGGTCCCTCACAGGGTTATTGGGAATATTAAAGTAACCATCAGATGCACATAATCCAAACCCGTAATAGGTGTTCACCATCCATCTTGGTTGACTCTGAGTCTCTGCTTCTTCTCTTTCTCTTTTATTTTATTTTTTCCACCGCCATTCATCCCCACTATGCCCTCTTCTACCCCCACCCTGCAGCACTCCTATTTTAGACCATGACATAGCCCTCTGGCAATGTCATTAACCTTCCTATTAAATGTGTCAGCTCTGTGAAAACAAAAGGACAGAAAAGCTATAATTATTTTACATAAACTTTTGGTTTTGTGTCCACAGTGGTATGAAAACTGAAGGGTGGAGGAGTGGATGATATCACTCAGAGAATAAAGAAGGGAGAAGGGAGAAAGGCTAGACTAGAATCCTGGGAAGTACTGGCATCTGAAGGACGGGCAAGAAAGAGGACTGGATGTAGAGAATGTAAAGGGGAAACCAGGACAACTAGGGAAATGCTATCACAGATGCCAGAGAAGAGCTGGTTTCAAGATGGAGCCAGTGGCCAACCGTGTTGTGATATCATGCTAAGAAATGCTCACCAGCCGAAACCGGTTTGGTCAATGGATAGAGCATCAGCCTGCGGACTGAAAGGTCCCGGGTTCAATTCCAGACAAGGGCATGTACCTTGGTTGCGGGCACATCACCAGTAGGGGGTGTGCAAGAGGCAGCTGATCAATGATTCTCTCTCATCGATGTTTCTAACTCTCTATCCCTCTCCTTTCCTCTTTGTAAAAAATCAATAAAATATTTTTTTAAAAAAAGGAAGAAAGAAAGAAAGAAAGAAAGAAAGAAAGAAAGAAAGAAAGAAAGAAAGAAAGAAAGAAAGAAAGAAAGAAAGAAATGCTTACCAAATTATCGGCAAGGAAGCAAGAATAATTTCAATGGGGAATCGAGGGAACATAAACCAGGTTTTGATGAGTTCAGTCATGTGTATAAGTTGAAATTTTATGATAACAAATTTAGAGAACTATTTAAGAAGTTTGGTTATGATGGAGTGAAGAAAACAAAGATAAAATAAGAAAGGGGACATGGAGAATAGGATTTAAGAATAGAGATGCATGAAAATTGTGCACTCGGGGGGGTCCCTCAGCCCAGCCTGCACCATCTCACAGTCTGGGAGTCCTCTGGGGATATCTGGGGAGTGGGTCTAAACTGTCAGTTGGACATCCTTAGCGTTACCACAAAGGCAGTAGTGGCTGCTTGCCACTTCTGGCTGAATGGTGCTCCCTGTGGTAGTGCAGCTCCTGCATTGAGTTTCTGCCCCCTGGGGATCAATGCACAATATAATGACCAGTCATTCAACCATTCAGTCAATTTGCATATTATCTTTTTATTTTATAGAAAGGGAGAGACTTTAGCACATTGGAATTTTGGTGGGATATATTTTAAAATCATAGCAATCTTTATTTTTTATGGTGTGAGAAAAAAGAACCCCACACAAATTAGAGTGCTCCAAGAGAGATTGTAGAAATAGGGAAATGAGTAAATTATTTTTCTTGTGCTTCTCAATATTTAACTTAAAACTTTTTGAGCCTTGTCTGTCTTTAATATAACACTTTAAACCCTTGATTTTAAAAACACAAAGGAGGTGTCTATATTTAAAGCCAATGAACATGTATTGCCTCAGATTAGCTATAGTTAATACCTATAGCAGAGAAGACAGACATTATAAAATGTTCTATCACAAACTTATTTCAGGAAAGACTATGCCAAGTTCTTTAGCAACAATTCTAGAACTGATATATTAAAATGTGTTAAGCCTTTTAAGAGACTCCATTTGAAAAGCAATATCCTTATTTCAATGAGGCCATTACTACTCGGATAACTTTTTAAAATTTCCTTCGTTAGCACTTCTATTGGAAGCTTCAGAAGTATCCCAGATATCCTCGAAAATGACAGGTTTTGTCCTGTTGCATGAATCTGACTTTGGAAACAGGCATTTGGAGCCATAATCACTAAATAATGTGCCTGTCAAATTTGATGACAAAAGTTTTAAATAAAATAAGGCGATAAAAGAAAATATAATGGCAAATCTATATGTTCTTGGGTTTCCAAAGATTTATTAAATACATCAAAGTATAGATAACAAAAGAAAAGTAGATGAATTGATCTTAATTAAAGTAAAAATTTTCATGCATCAAAGAAAAAAACTATCAATAGGATAAAGACAGCCTACAAAATGAGAGAAAGTATTTGCAAATCATATATCTGATATATATGTAGAATGTCCGGAATATGTAAAAAAAAAAAAAACTCCTAAACTCAATAAAAATTAAGTAATCCAGTTCAAAAAAGGCAAAGAACTTAAATATACATTTCTCCAAAGAAGATATATAAGTGGCCAACAAGCACATGAAAACATGTTCTGCACTATTAGTCATTAGTGAAATGAAAAATCAAAACCACAATGAGATACCACCTCACACGTACTAGGATGGCTATAGTTTTTTAGAAAATGGAAACCGACTATTGTAGAAGAGGATTTGGAGAAATTGGAATCTTCATACAGTGTACAGTGTTTCAGCCACTGAGAAAAACAGTTTGATAGTTCCTCAAAAAGTTAAACAGAATTACCATATGAGCCAGCAATTCCATTCCTAAGTATATTCCCAAAAAGAACTGAAAATAGGGACTCAAACATTCATTCACAAATGATCATAGCACCACTTTTCAAAATAATGAAAAGGTAGAAAAACCCCAAGTATCCATCAATGGATAAATGGATAAATAAATTGTGGTATAACTAACCATACAATGGAATATTGCTCAGCCATAAAAAAGAATGGAGTACTGATGCATGCAACAACATGAATGAATCTTGAAAACATTATGTTAGGTGAAAAAGCCAGATACAAAAGGGCAAATATTGTATGATTCCACTTACGGTATATGAAGTACCCAGAATAAGCAAATTACAGACAGAAGGAGGAGCAGGGAGAGGTGGGGTATTGGGAGTTACTATGTGGGGTGATGAAAGAATGTGGCAATAATGGGGACAGTGGCACAGCATTCTGAATATAATTAATGCCATTAATATGTACACTTTAAAATGGTTAAAATTTTTATAAATATATATCACATGTATATAACATGTTATTCATCATCAATATAAAGTTAAACAAATTTTAGTTATATATTTTACCACTATAAAAAATAATCATTGATGCCGGGACCGGTTTGGCTCAATGGATAGAGCGTCGGCTTGGGGACTGAAGGGTCCCGGGTTCGATTCCGGTCAAGGGCATGTACCTTGGTTGCGGGCATATCCCCAGTAGGGGGTGTGCAAGAGGCAGCTGATCGATGACTCTCTCTCATCGATGTTTCTAACTCTCTATCTCTCTCCCTTCCTCTCTGTATAAAATCAATAAAATATATTTTAAAAAAAAATAATCATTGAAAATGTACAATTGCATTTAAGGAATCTAACAGTCTTTGTTTTGTTTTTCCTTGACAAATGCCTTTGGAATAGTAAAATGCAAGTGGGTTTGCATCAAGTTAAATTATCATTCAAAGTTGTCAATATTTTAAGATAAAAAACCAAGATGATTAGAAAGTGGTGATTCGACTTTTGTCTGTGCTTCCTTCTGAAAGCAACGCCCTTCCCATGGAATAAAAGGAAATAAAAGATGAAAAAATGGGTAGATTTTTGCTGTTCAAAGAATGTATCACTTGAGTTACCAATTGAATTGTGGTCAAATTGCATAGCTCATGAAAAGGATATTAGTTTATGTTCAGTCCACTGATGTTGATTTTAAGACCTAGACTATGGTGAAATCTTTCCAAATAGTGTTGGGAACGCATTTCCCTTCTATTCCTTGATTGGTGAGTTTCTTTCTTTCGGAGCTGCCAGGATTATGCGGGTCACAAGGCCTCACCATTATTCCCTTTAAGCTAAAGCATCACGGACGATTGCTCATGTGAGACTCGGTTCTTTTGCAGAGCACAGGAAACTTGGCAACATGACTGTGACCGTGAGAAAAACTGTCCCCTCGCCCGAGGCCGTGCAGATTCTCTACCAGCGAATGAGGTACGAGTACGAGTTCTACCACTACGTCAAGGAACAGTTCCATCTGCTGAAGCGCAAATTCGGACTGAAGTCGCAGGTCAGCAAGCCCCCTCTGAGACCCCAGTTCTTCATCCCGTCTCCGCTGGAAACCGAGGAGCCCATTGGTGACGAGGAGCAGGATGACGAGAAGTGGCTCGAAGATATTTATAAGAGGTGATGCTGCCAGCCCTGTGTTGCCTCCAATGGCTTTATCTCCCTTTCCCGGAAAGATTTGTTGTTTGGAGAGGAAAAATCGTGAAGGGACTGAATTAATGCTCGGCTGCATTAAAAAGAACAAAACATTCCCACAGGTTGGGGGTCATTGGGAGATGCCCGGTTTTGCGGGTTTTGTTTGTTTCATTTTATTCTGTGTTTTTCTGGCTCCTGGGGTCCTTCCCAGTTATGCTAAGATGACTCCATCACAAGGCATCTCATCATAAAATAGCTTTTCTCTCCAGGTCAATGAGAGAAGGGGGAAAATATAGCCCATAGGCCAATAACTTATCATTTGCAAGAGGAGTTGTAAAAATATCACCTCAGTGGTAGGAAACATCCAGACTTGTATATTTCGCTAGAAATTCAAAACCACTTCAGAGACCGGGGAATCCACTCCAGAAGGACCTAAGAGGAGAAGGTAGGACAGATCAGGACATCAAAAGAGAGGATGCCCCTGAGTTAGTGGTCCATGCCCCCATGGGCCAGATTCTGCCTCTGGTCCATCTCAGGAGACACTTTTCATCAAGAGCAGCCTATTTGTTATCTCTGAAGGGGACAGTCAGCCTGTGCCACACCCCCAACCAGTATCTCTCAAGGTCAAAGTGCATGACACGTTCCATTCAGACATTCCATGTCCAAGCACCATTCTGACGGATTTCAAAGTAGCATGGCAGGGAAAAGAATTTATTTGCTGAGTAAGGAGGAGTGTAGGAAGACAAATCAGCCCTGGAGGTCATGTGGCACAGGCAAATGGTACCATCCTGCCTTTGTCCCCAAATAGGAAATGAATTTCTCGCCAGCATTGTTTTAACTGCATACCCAGGAACTAGTTTGGCTCTGATCACAGGCAATGCAAATCTATCAGGCACACTCCTGGCCAGTGGGGTCCCAGAGTAGCTGGTATCTTTCACCTTCTAGTCCCTTAAGAGGTGCCTGTTTTGGGTAAAAGGGGGTCCTGAGTTGTGTGCAGGCGACAGGGAAACTATGGTCCCATTTCTCATGGAAGCAGCTCACTGCTGAGAATCCTCCTAGGATAGCAAGAAGAGGAGAAGCAAGAGCTTCTGGATAAAAGACTGCTTGGCCAGTTTTATGAGTAGGTGTCTGCTCCCCAAGTGATCCGAGTAAATGTCGGGTAGCATCGTGTCTCCAAAATATCTCTTCCCCATCGCACTCCCATCACCTGCCAGCTATCCATGAAGCCTGGGTTCGGTCATTAAAAGCCCGTGTCTTAGATTCTGAAATGGTTTAGTCTTTAACGGCGCCTCCCACACTGAAAAACCCATGCACTCCTGGGCGGAGACGCAGGGGTGCAGGTGGTGGCGGCCGGCAGGACACATGCCACACATTTTGTCTCCTTCACTTTTTTCTTCCCTAGAGCCAGCCCTTCAAGAGCACTAGCAGATGGTGAGTTGGGAACAGTTAATAGTAAATAAGACGCTGACTTTACACAAGCTCCACATTTTCTACCTTTCATAAACTAGCAAGTCTCTCTAGAATTTTCTGTCGTTGTGGTTGTTCACTAAAATTGGATGGTTGCCAAGATATAAAGCAAGTCATTTGGAACCTGTCAAGGGTGCACTAAAGCTACTTTATCATGAGATGCATTAAGAAGGCTCCGCCTGCAGGACTCAGTGAAGGCTGGGACCGCAGAGGCACAAAGTCCAGCTTTGGCCACTCGTGGGCCTCCTTTCAGCCTCAGAGGACCGGGCCAGCGAAGGGGTGAAGGGGAATGCAGAACTGCGGTCAGTTCTAAGAGAAGAGGAAATATCCTTTGTCCAGTGTAGAGAGACCAGGGCCCTCCCAGTAGATATACCTTAACAAGCACCAGAAGAATAGTTAATGCTATTCAAAAAACGAGAACAAGAACGCCGCCCGGTACATTGTGAGCCATTTCTATGAAACCGCCTAGAGACAATGCTAGTTAGTTTACAAACTGTGCCATCTCACTATCTGAAAATACAGTTGAGTTGGCTGAGAGTTCTCTGCTCTTGTCAGGATAGTGGGACAATTGGCCATTTGACAAGCGTATCTCTGAGTTCAAGTTCACAGGAGCACGTCTGCCTGTGTGTTCAAAGGCATTTGTCAGCAGTGATCATTGTAGCATCACGACAGAAGATGCTGACTGACTGACTGACTTGCAGGGCCTTAATGTTATTTTGTCGCAAACAGACAGCTTTTTAGGTCCGTAAAGTCAAAGCTCTTCAACAGCACATTTGGCCCACATGACAATATTCCTTTGGCCCTGAGCCCAACACAGTTTGTACTTCATGAAATATATTGTACATTTTACATAGTTTAATTTAAAAAAAATACATTTTAAGCTGGTTGATCTTTAACTGCCTTATTTATTATAACCTTTCAGCACATTCCAAGGTTTTAGTTACTCAGGAAGGAGTTAATTAAAATGATTTTATTTTGGTCTGATGGATGTTTTTTAAAAGGAAAATTATTATTATGAACCTGCAGCCTACTTTCCTTGAGTGCCGTAAAAGTGCTTGTAAATCTTTTTTTTTTTTTTTTTAAGAAGAATGAAAAAAAATGGTGTTTGACATTGATGGAAACTGAAAAATATATATGGGACTGCAACACGAGCTGAGCTGAAATAAAAGCAATCTGTGTTTGAGATGAAGTATTCCTTAAGTTATTCATTACCCATGTAAATAAATGAATATAAATAAGTGGACATTTTTCTCATTCTGTGGATACCTGGAATAAAAGTGCCTGCCATTCCTCATCCTCTTTAATTGGCCAAGCTTTTTTCTTCAAGATGTCATTTTTAGAAAGATGTCTTTTTTAAAAATCTGTAAACCCTCATTCTTGCAATTAGATGACACACACACACACACACACACAAAAAAAAAAAACTGGCTGAAAAAATTAAGCTAGTTGTTCATTCATCTCAATGTGTATATAAATCACTAAGCAGCTGCTGACTTGATTGCTGTGCCTGCTGGTTGGTTAGATGTCAGCCTCTGAGCAAGTTGGCGCTGACTGGGAAAGCAAGGATGTGCCACCTGCTGATCTCTTCCCCAGATGTGTGGAGCCTCAAAAGCTGATGATCCTAACCTCCCAGAAATGCTGTCCCTGAGCAAGTTCCCTGCTGCATCAAAGGGAGCTGACAGAGAGAGAAATCCCCCTGCTTTCTAGATGCTGAATTCCAACTACATTCCAGATACACGTGACTACTTTGTAGATGAAAAGAATAGAAGTCTTGGTACTAAATGAAAGAGAAATTCGTTTTGGTCATCACATAGTTTACTTCAAGAATCTCTGAGAGTCTTAAACCACAAAATGATGCCTGGTTACCTTTCTCTATCACTCAGTTTGTTGTTCCGTAGCCAGTCACGTGATGTTTGACTCTGCATGAACTTCAAAGGTAAAAGTACTAAACAAACCCTGGACTCCACCCCCTCTGGAGTTGCTTGTGTGGTCTGAAGTTCTTTGTAAATTGTCCTGCTACCTGTGGGTTGGTCCAGTGAACTATTTGGCTTTAGGTTAATTTGATAGATGTTGGCAGTATTTTGTAAAAGGCAAAATGATGGGCCACAGCCATTCAGAAAAATTGTTCCGTAGATCAAAATTGTGAAATTCTCTTCAAGTAAAACGAAAGAGGATTCATTTTACTAAAATGATTTACTTCACATCTGATGACAAAGAAACCAGTTTAAAAAAAAAAAAGTATTTTAAACATTCTGCAAAAGAAAAGACTATTTTAGCTAAAATCCAGATTAAGAGTCTGTTAAGGAAAACACATGGAACTTCTTTCGTTGTGGTGTGACCCTGTGTATTAGTTTACGGGAGCTGTCATTACAAAGCTCCATAAACTGGCTTAAACAATAAACATTTATTTTCTCACGGTTCAGGAGGCATGAAGTCTGAGATCAAAGTGTCAGCAGGCTGATTTCCACTGAGGCCTCTCGCCTTGGCCTGTCCATGGCTGGCTCTTCCTTCTCTCATCACAAGGACTATTCTCTGTCATGCTCATAACTGTGTCCAATTTCCTCTTTTAAAAAAAAATATATTTTTTTTATTGATTTTGGAGAGGAAGATGGGGAGAGAGAGGGACTCATTGATTGGCTGCCTTCTGCATGCCTACATTGGGAAATGAGCCCACAACCCTGGCATGTGCCCTGACCAGGAATGGAACCTTGACCTCCTGGTTCATAAATCAATGCTCAACCACTGAGCCATGCTGGCTGGGCCAAATTTCCTTTTCATAAGGACGCCAGTCATACTGGACTAAGGCCCACCCTACAGAGCTCATTTTAGCTTGATTACCTTTAAAAGGTCCTATCTTAAAATAATAGCCACATGCTGAGGTACTGGGTCCAACACCTCAACATAGGAATTTTTTAGGTGCACAGTTCAGCTCGTCACATCAAGATCACAGCAGAAAAGTTAGAGCATGGGAACAAAAATCTAACTAGGAGAAAAGCCAGCCTGAAATCACAGAGCCGAGGAGCCGCTGTGGTTCTCAGCAGTTACCCAGTCCATTCCCTCTGTTACAGGAGAGGGGATCAAGTTCCAAATGGAAGACGCAAATTCATCACATTTTTTTTCCATTGAATGTTGATTAACTTTTGAGTATCTACCAAATTAAGACTTTTAAGAGTTGATAAAGTCAGGATCCATCTACTGTCCTAGAATCTACAGTGACAACGAGGCACCATCAGCCACCCCCAGTGCCATCTGCCACACGGAAGCCCCCGCCCCGCATGGCTCTCCTCCTCGGGCTGTTGGCTGTGGGGTCGCCTCCCGCACAGGAAGCCCTATTGGTTTTCAATTGCATAATCCTCAGAGAGAAATGTCAAAATAAATACGTTCTTCTCTAGATTTTTCCTTTCTCCTGAAGGGACACAGAGAGGTTCTCATTTCTGGATAAACAGATCAGACCGAGTGTACCCATCTCAGATTGCAGGGTTTTATTTTTCTTAAAGGCGAAATGAAAATTCATGTCCTACT